GGTTACGTATCTACATAGTGGTGGATGGGCTCGAGTTGGGGACAGGGGGAGTTGGAAAGTTGGTCGTTCTTGTCTTACTACGAAGCTGATAGCGCGCTTTTGCTCCGACCTTACAACCTATTGTCGTCTTTGTGTACCCTTCCACAGTTTTATTGCTATAGCTTTTATTGTTTTTGGAAAATTTGCCAAAAAATGGTGAAAAACCTCACATCTGAAACGACCAGTGTCCGACCAAATGCATCCTTGGCTTCCTCGTCTCGACCATCGTTCTTTGGTTTGACATCCAACCATATTGCAACCTCTTTCCCACCAGCTAATGGTGAAACTGTAATTTTGCACCTAAGTAGGCTTGCTATCGTCACAGGAACTCTTGATACTTTTTTTTACTTTTCTCAAACTTGTCGAAAAAAATCCTGCTCCATTCGACTAGTGCACTTTCAAAGCTTCACTACCCATTTGCAGACGAAAGTGAAGCGTGAAACGCAACCGTCGCAGCTGAGCCAAGTAGCGTATTCTCCAGGAAATAGAGAGCCTCTACATTTGTGTCTATCCCTCAGAGTTATTCTGCAATATCTGCCCGCTTTTCAATTGCGCGAAAGGAAAGCTAAGTTTGAGGCCATTCTTCAGCAGAGATGAAGAATTCGTGTCGTGCAGAATGACTCGCTCGAGCTTTTGAGTCTGAAGACTGGTTTGATACTATATAAAATTAAAGCAACAGTCCCAGCAGGGTGGGCGTGGTCGGAAACGGCTGCAATCCCCTCGGCCGATTCCCACTTCGGAGCTGTTCAGCCCCTAGTCAAGAACGTAAGAAGTGTGACTGAACAAAAACTCACCTTGGAAAGCCGCTAGGGAGGGAGCTGAAGTGGGCGTGGTCGGAATCGGCCGAGGGGATTGCAGTCGTTTCCGACCACGCCCACCCTGCTGGGACTGTTGCTTTAAATTGGTCCTACTGATGAAGGAGCACTCTCTAAATCGGATGACGATTATTTAGCTTCGAAGTCTTTATTGTGCTTAAGCTTTCGAATCAGCATGAAACACTACCAGGTTTTTAGAAACGACAGCGGGTTTCGGAAAAACTCACAGTATCCTTTGGTTTTTGTGTCAGCAAAAATATAGAGGAACTCGTCGTTGAGAAATCCGCCGTCCTTAGCCGCCAGAAGAAAAGAGCGCTTGTATCCGCCTCCTTCGGCAAGACAGACAACAACAACTGAAGAGAATCTTATACGACATCTTTCAAGAGTAAGCTCAATTGATTTCTTGTCGAAGTAACTGTAAAGACCAGACGGCTGAAAACTGTTCTGAATAGTTATATGAGGTTCAATCTAACTTCTTGCTCGTGTGCTGACATTTCCCAGAGTCCGAGTCACGGTCTCTAGCGTCACATCCAGCATCTGGTAAACGGAAGTAATGGTTATTTCGTCCGTCATTGCAATCGCTGTCTGAAAAGTTCACAAATATGCCCTTGAATGTTTGTGTCGATTAAGAAATCATGATGACTTATGAAAACGGTATTTCTATTTCTATCCCTTTGCTCGACCATCTTAATCTCGGAAAAGGACATAAAAGTCAGAAATGCAATCACAATTACAATGTTACAGATAGGCCGAAAAATGACGATAAATGTTCAGTCATCTAGAATTTCAGTCAACCAGATTGAGCCAAGTATAAGGATTGAAGCAAGTGGATATGATTCGATGCAAATTTAGCTGCTTAACAAATTATTTGCCGTTTATGCTACCATCACATCTTTCACCGGATTGATCCCCCGTCAACGCCGGACTTTCCTTCTGCGCAACTATATATTCCGGTGTGGTCCCTTCAACCTGCGACACCAACACTTTCTGAAGGTTACGCGTATACAACACAAAGGAGTTTCATATGGTGGGGGGGGGGGCATCGCCACAACCATGACATGACGTTAGATCTTCCGCCTCCCCTTTCTCATTTGAATGCAACCACCAATTGCATCCTTCTATTTTATAAAGCGCTAACTTTGTGTGTCGGTTTGTGTATCTGTATGTGTGTGTATGTATGTGTGTGTGTCCGTCCGCAAAATGAAGTGAGTGAGAAGGAAGCTCATGGGATAAACAAACCGCTAACAAATCGGGTAGCTTACAGGATTTGAGATATCAATGTTTTGTAGCAGGATAGTTGTGATAACACTCTTAGGGCTATATAAACACCTGCTTAGCACACTTCCGTTCATTCCACATGGTGCTGCAGTGGCAGCTGGAGGGCAGTGGAGAGAGGAAGGGAGATGCGGAAGAGAAGCGAAAAATACTACCGTCATATCATGATTGTGTCCCTTCTACTGTATGAAACACCATTGTGTTGCATACGCGTCACTTCCACGAGGTGTTGGTGTCACAGGAGGAAGGGACCATAGCGGAGGATAGAAAGCTTGCGCAGGAAAGGAAGGTCCCGGCGGTTGACGGGGGACTAATCTGGTATAATAAAAAGCCAACCCGTAACATGAAAGACCACTGATAAATAGAACGGACGGAACCGAGCCACAGAAAATAGCGTAACCTGCCTATGCAAAAAAGTGCAATGCAAGGTTAAAAGAAAGGTTAACATAGGTGAAAATAGACGTAGAGGTAAAAACAATGTCACCTGGACGTCATTCTTCATCACGTCGCATTTTTCAGAGTCGCCAATATTGGAGTAGACGAAAGCGAACTGGTTCCACGCAAACGACTTCATCACGAACCGAATTGCTATTCCAAGGCTGAATAGAACACTTTCACATACCAGATAACGGCTTTTTACTGGATTAGCACCGTACCGTAAGGATCAAAGAATAAGTAGCGCAATAAAAGCCGTCAGAGTTTGTGCTTTTCAAATCATCAAACTCAAAGATCAAGGACATTAAGTTGGGATTTCGAATTCGACGATGTACCGATAATTGTTCTTGAAAACTTTCCTAGGAACTCAAATTAGGCGGCTTTTATAATATCCAAAGGTAGATTTTGCGATGAGAAGGTAGCCTATTGGAAATAAGCGTAGAGGTGCTCGGTGGAGCAGGGACAAAGAAAGATACTATGAGAAACTCCTGTTTGCACATTGATGCGACTCTCATCGTTGTGCCCTCTTCAACGCTAACGCTCTCTCTGCTATCTAATCACTCGCCGCGTATAGACCTGCGGCGAGTGATTAGATAGTCGGTGGGCGTTCCGGCCAACTGCGCCAAAGAGGAAGGCCATGCTAGATCGCCGGAGGCATTCCTTCGATGTGAATTGCGTGTTGGTCCGCACCCTCCGCCTGTCTCTCCATTAGGTAAATTCCGCCTTATTCAACCTTTGTTCTTGCGTGGAATCCTCCTTTAATCAACGTGTTGAAAGCGGATGCAACGAGCTTTTCATTTAAGTTATTTGATTAATATATTGCTACTTGAACAAAAGTTAGAGTCACCTCAGAGTATTGACGGACAGAACTCCAGTTGTTGGAAAACGGTCCCTACTATCCAGTGCAGCAGAATTACTCAAACCCCATGTGAACAAAGGGATTTCGTAGAAGGCAGCGTTCAGTGCTGACGCGATAGCAGCTGAAAACGAAGCGATAAAGTTGCAGAGTGTAAGCCAAAATACTAACACCTGAAAAAAAGAGCGTCAACTTGTAAGCAGCAGCTGACACAGAGTCAATCATCCGTTGAGGGGTCGTATATACCCCTCCCCCTAGAAAATGTTGCAGTGGAAATATGGGTGAAATAGAGGGAAAGTGAGAGGATGTTTGCGGTTTCGTGGTAGGTATATACCCCGCTCGACGGCAATTTTGGAGGAAAAAAGTGGGCGGAGTTTGGGCTGTGTCGACTGGTCTCAGAATCGAATACTATAGAATGAGCCCCATGATGGCGATGGCAGGCGAGGGTGGTGAAGGGTTGACCCTGAGGGGGGTCGTATCGAGGCCCTCTAGAAGGGGGAGGGGGTCGTAAAATTTTCGAAATCGGTCCAACGTGACGGTTGACCCTGATCAGACATCGTGAAAACTTACGATAACTGCATGTAGGCCCAAATATGCCGTCCACATTCAAATCACGAATCAACTCCACCGTAATACCTGCCGCTGTTGTTTCAATACATTGGTCAAACCGTACGGTGAAACTGGAAAGGAGTGGAATTGCAGGGCCGCAGAGGAACGTCGCAAGGCTCAATTTCTAACAGCAGCGATTGGAATAGTAACCGCTGCTGTTAGAAATTCAAGCTCAGATTAACCAAGAATTGAGCTACATTTGGAACGATACTTCGCTTACTTGAAATCGTATCCCGGCAAGAGGTTTTCGCTGAGCACTCGATCTCTCGCGATGAGCACAGCCGACGCAGAAGTTCTAAAGCAAACACTTAAAGGCAGCAATTACGATAAAGAGGGAGCGCGTCGGAAAGCATATGCACTACACAAATCAGTTACTTGGGTGCCAGAAAAACAAGGTGTAGCGCTTTCACGACAGGTTCGCTGGTTGCTGAGCAGGACTTCGAAAGCACTCCGCCCCCAAAAGCGATCCACCCACTAGTTTAGTTGGTGATTTGGACGAGCGGCGTTGAAAGCAGCGGCACAACAGGAGCAATTCGATGGGAGCGGGAATTGGCATGTTGTTACCAAACGCGTCGCGTTGAATTCATATGGCCTGCAATAGGCCTGCTTTCTGAACTGTCATCTGTTAACGAAAAAAAGGCCAACGGCAAAGAATGGGTCCCATTTTGGGTTTTTTTTGACGAATTCATCCCCTTTTTTCGCCACCGACCTAACATTGAGCACCACCCATCTTTTTCAAACCATTGCTAAACCTATCGTAATCGTTTGCCTTTAAAACGTTTTAGTACCCAAAAGTAAAGCCAACCACTATAGACACCAAGCCAGACTACTCTCTGTCGTTCTACACAGTTTCTCTACAGTAAGTAGAGTTCCAGTGATCAAACAGGATTGATATTCAGCGGAAGGTCGGAGAAACACAAGAGAAAAACAGCTAACAACTAAAACGATATTAGTCTGGGATGCGTTATCAGTCTAACGTGGGACCTTAGTTGGGGAAATTTGGCTCATAGCCGAAGAAGACGAGACATTCAAAACCGGTTGCGCTTCGAATTCTAGCCGTACATCTGTCACAAATGCTGGCGCGGGAACGCTTCCAGTTGGTTCTTGAAAAGCTGTCAATAGGAACTTTTTGTTCTTTCGACTTATTGCACTATCATCTAGCATTCTATTTTCTAAATAAATTATTCTCTGCTCTCCAAAATCGTTCGAGACGTCTGTATTCCTTTCGATGCGTCGCCCCCCCCGTCGCCTCCAAGGCTTACTTCCTTTCCTTGTCTCTGCCCGACCTACCTTCGATGTCCATAGAGTGTAGTTTTTGTACGTTTGTTTCTCTTCAGAAACCGAATCTTCATGCGTGAAACTTTGTGTGCTGTTTCCAGTGATCACAACTGACATATTCATGTTAGGAAAAGTGCAAGAATTTTCCCAGCAAGAATTCCTTTAACAGGAAAATTTCATTACCAGTTCGAATTAATACGACCATCTCTTCTTTTCCTAGGAAAACCAAATAAGAAACTTTTACGCACACGCAGACTCCCTAAGAGGGATCTCCCCAGCAATAAAAGTGAACAAAGCGGAAAGCTTGGTATTCACGCAAACTAACGGATGATCCAGCCAGTGTCTGTAAAAACAATGGCGCACTCACGATTAGGAAGTGCATCCATCGTCATCAATTCATGTTGAGAGAGTAAAATCCACTTGTGAGTGAGAACGTGTGCAGGCATAATGTTTCGAATAAGCTCTACGTTATCACTTCCCTTGACTTGTTCCTCAAGCCAATGATATTGAGAGAAAATAATTGGACTGGCACAAAATCAAAGCAACTGACTCTATACAAGTTCCCAATGGTTAATCTGGAGCCTAGGCCACTAGAATGGCAAGATCAGAGCTAGTAGCTTTAATAGCGTTGTCTGTTCATCTATGCGCCAAGAAGCTGTCCTAAACTTCTACCATTTTGTAAAAATAAAACGATCGAAAGAATTCTGATCTTTAAGTTGCCGTTCGGCGCGTTTCACAAAGCAGACCAAAACAGGCCAAAGAGGACTCAGAACAGGGCTAAAGGCTCCTTTTTCTGCTCTGAGTTTTGTCACAGAATGATAGCGTGTTGCTGTTCCCCGGCTGTGTATGTATCTGGAAACGTTTTGGCGATTCTGGAATCGCGCATAAGCCATCGCCAGGTTCAGCCATCGTCTCCTCCACGCCATCATTGAGTCCGACCGATATCAAAGACATATTTACCAGGCGCTTGGCAGAAAGGTAAGAAGGCTCAACTGAAACCATCACAGCTCTCTTCAGGATCTGCTTGTTCGAGAGGTAGATTACTTAGCAATTTTCCTTCAGTTATAAGCGAAATGAGAATGCAAATCCATGAAACCTCTTTGGAGGGATTAAAACAAGTGCTGCGTTAGTTAACCCATAACGGACGGCGTGCGCCACATGGTGGCGCACGATTATTTCTTTTGTTTTTGGAATGTTTCTAGCAATCTTAATATACCCATATATACTCTCAGCAATGTGGAATAACATATCTTCCCAGGACCTGGACGGCTGGATTTTTGACAAACCTACAATAAATTTTACATACATTTTGTCGTCTTAATTTACATAAGTTTACTATTATTTTGAAGGGCATTACCATGGTTCGACACGTCCCGAGACCCCTTCCCCTAAATATCAGCCACATCCTTTGCTCGGGGTTGTTGTTTCGCATTTTTCGATAATGTCACCTACAACTTCCATTCATTCTTTGCACCCTAGTTTTAGAGCGGAAAGGCGCGGCTTTGAACTTCTACGGAAGTCTCTTCTCTTGGTTGATAAGACACGGACACCTATTAGCCCCCTCTCAACGCCCCCTGTTCTTTTGCATAAAGCCCTACGATAAAACATACCTGGTGCGCGTTGGCCACCATGGTGGGCACCGAAAAATAATTGGACGTCGTTTATGGAGGTACAAGTCTACTGCGTATAGCCCTATGTACTTAAGATTTTCAGGAGCAGTTGTGCTGCAGCTGTTACGGTACTTTCTTGTGCAAAAAAATCCTTTGTTCCTGTACGATTTCGTGATAATTACTTTCCACACTCAGTGGGTCTGCGTCTCTAGAAATCCCGCGATTTTACTTTCTGATAGCCATTCCCCTACAATTTTTTGTCTTGATTCGCTACCTAAGAAATTAAGTTGATCGAGCTACCAAAATACTTTTTATCGCTATGAATCGATTCATTCTTTATGAACCTCCAGTCGCGCTACGAAACTCGTTGCTGGCTCCTCGTCTTAACTTCAAAAATTCATGACGGAGTTTTCTGTTATGAGTTAGTTATTAATTTTGTTTTCCGAAAAATTCTGTAAATGTAGTCTACTTGGATCCTTCTTAATCCATTCCACTACAAGCCTTTCTCTTCATTAAACATCAGTGGATTTGAGTTTCTACGATTATCGCATTAACGCCGGCGGCAGCACCAGATAGGCTGCAGCTGATAATGCCTATGTTCGCGCTTGGGATGAAGATGAAATAGGAGGTTAATCTCGCAGTCAAGTTCAGAATGCTCTTGAATTCCTTTAGTGAGAAAATGAATAAATGCTCTGTTTCCTTTGCTAATAGTCGTCATATTGATCGAAATCCTATTATTATATGTTGAGACAATCTTTACGCATTGGCATTGCTGTAATTATTCAGTGGAATTCATGTTTTTGTTCATCTACAGTACAAAATCACAAGAATTGAGGTTGAGCGGGCGCTCACAAATCGGCGCGTCGCCACGCGATCCACAAAAGTGCGAACAGGAGGCGCCACGGAAGTGTTAATCGGCTTCGCAGTGACATCGATTTCATATCCTGACAAA